TAGGAGATGGGGGTGGGGCTTGAGGTGGGAGGAGGGAATAGGTGGGAGGAGGAACAGGTTAGGGAGGCGGGGACGAGCTGGACTGGTTTTGGGATGCGGTAGGGGGAGGGGAGATTTTGAAACTTGTGAAATCCACATTGATACCATTGGGCTGCAGGGTTCCCAAGCGGAATATGAGTTGCTGTTCCTGCAACCTTCGGGTGGCATCGTTGTGGCACTGCAGGAGGCCCAGGATGGACATGTTGTCTGAGGAATGGGAGGGGGAGTTGAAATGGTTCGCGACTGGGAGGTGCAGTTGTTTATTGCGAACCGAGCGTAGGTGTTCTGCAAAGTGGTCCCCGAGCCTCCGCTTGGTTTCCCCGATGTAGAGGAGGCCACAATGGGTACAGCGGATGCAGTATACCACATTGGCAGATGTGCAGGTGAACATCTGCTTGATGTGGAAAGTCTTCTTGGGGCCTGGGATGGGGGTGAGGGAGGAGGTATGGGGGCAGGTGTAGCACTTCCTGCGGTTGCAGGGAAAATTGCCGAGTGTGGTGGGGCTGGACGGGAGTGTGGAGCGGACAAGGGAGTCACGTAGAGAGTGGTCCCTCCGGAAAGTAGATAAGGGTGGGGAGGGAAAGATGTCTTTGTTGGTGGGGTCGGATTGCAGATGGCGGAAGTGTCGGAGGATGATGCGTTGGATCCGGAGGTTGGTGGGGTGGTACGTGAGGACTAGGGGGATTCTTTTTTGGTTCTTATTGCGTGGACGGGGTGTGAGGGATGAGTTGCGGGAAATGTGGGAGATACGGTTGAGGGCATTCTCGACCACTGAGGTGGGGAAGTTACGGTCCTTGAAAAACGAGGACAACTGAGATGTACGGGAGTGGAATGCCTCATCCTGGGAGCAGATGCGGCGGAGGCGAAGGAATTGGGAATAGGGGATGGCATTTTTGCCGGAAGGTGGGTGGGAGGAGGTGTATTCTAGGTAGCTGTGGGAGTCGGTAGGCTTGAAATTGATATTGGTTGCTAGGTGGTTGCCAGAGATGGAGACAGAGAGGTCCAGGAAGGAGAGAGAGGTATTAGAGATGGTCCAGGTAAACTTAAGGTTGGGGTGGAAGGTGTTGGTGAAGTGGATGAACAATAAGCCTTACGCCCTTCTGGCCGTCAGGGGCCCCTCGATTGAGGGCTGATCTGGAAGCTGAGCTTGTTCCTGGCACTGTTCACGATTCCAATCCGAGGTGAAGTCCCGTGCTTTGGAATGAAACTCTCTCTCTTATACAGTGTGACAAACAGCCAGCACAAAGAAAGCAGATACAGAAAAGACGAAACTGCTGGCTGGTACAGAAAACACGGGATGAGAAAACAAGCTGCAGGTGTTGCCTCTGGCTCGAAAAGGAATGTTCACAGGACTCATTCAAGGTCATGCAGCTTGTCGAGTATCATTCTAAACTTTCCCAGCCTATTTTCCGATCCTGTACAATCTATTTTCCTGTGCAGCTGTCGAATATCATCCTACCTTTCAGTCCTTTGGCCCATTCTATATATAAAGGCTTCTGATTGATACATGGTTTAGTGACCTGAAATAGTTAAAGTTAATGCCAAGCTATAAAGCATTATGTGATATGCATACCTGAGATAATGCCTGTGAGGTGTTCATCTGTTTTGTGATGGTATCGTTGACCCATAGAAGTCTTTGTTAAAAATTGAGTGGATGTTCTTCTCATTGTGATGAAACAGATGTGAGATGATGGTGCATGAGCTGCTGAGAATTGTAGCTTCATTTGTATTTTAAGAGTGAATCCTGGCAGATGTGTGAGAGGCAGCAGCACTGTGGTGCAAGTTGTCCTATATTGGTAGCTGCAATACAGTAGAAGACAGTAATTGCACATTTGACACCTGATGAAGATTTGACACCTGACACTCCATCTTGTGTGTGACAGTATTCTGAAGTGGCAACCTTACGATGCTAGCTCACACACATAAGGACATGCAACACTGAGTGGATTGTGGCATATACCCTGGCAGAGGGTAACATGTCATTCACCCTTTTGCAACATTAGAGCCGAGTTCTGTTGAGCCATCCATGAGAGCTGACCTCTGCAGCCACCGCTGTCCAGGCTGTACTCATCAGTTAGGATGGCCTTTTGTTTCTAACAATAGGGAAAAGAACTTCCCTTTCTGCCAGGACACCCTTCAGGAGAATTCTGAAGGAGATCTCGCTGAACCATGGCACGGATTTCTGTGCTGTACCTTTGATGTCTCCAAGGGTGGGTGGGGGTGATTACATTGAGCGATGCTGCTGGATTGCACAAAGTGAGGTGCTGCCTCAAGTTGAAGCCTGGAAGGTCACAGCTTATCCCCCTGCCCGCCTGTCTGCCTGCCCTTCAAATTTAGTATTTTACCCTCATATGAATGTGTAATGCAAATATATGAATTAGGACCAAAAGTGGCCTTTTCAGCCATTCAAGCCTGCTCTACCATTCAATAAGATTATGCCTGGTCTGTCTGTGTTCTCTAAATTCCACATTCTAATTTATCTTCGATTTGGTTTCCCTACCTAACAAGAACATACCTACCTTAACTTTAAAAATAGTAGGATCATATGCGGAACCTTGTCAAATGCGTTCTGCAAGCCCAAGTACACCATCAATAAAGGGTTCTCTACTCCTTCAAAGATAAATCATGTCTATTTTTCCCAATTTCCGTGTGTTTTTTTCAAGTGTCTAGTTATAATCGCCTCAAATTCTACCAATTTCCCTACAACAAGCATCAAGCTAACTGACCTACAGTTTCCCGTTTTCTGCCGCCTTCCTTGCAGGAATAGAGGCTTTTTAAAAGATATATTTTAGTCTAATGGAACCTCTCCAAAATCGAACAAGAAGTTTGGAAAATTAGCACCAATGCATCTGCTATTGTCCCTGAGCAGAAGTACCGCCCACTTTTATGTTGGCTCCATGCTTAGTCTGGAGAAACAATATTCTGCCCATTGAGTGCATATTAAAGTAGACAATAGGCTTTTAACTCAGATAACAAGGTGTATAGCTGGATGAATGCAGCAGGCCAAGCAGCATCATAGGAGCAGGAAGGCTGACGTTTCGGGCCTAGACCCTTCATCAGAAATAGATTTGCCTTCACTGCAAAAGCTAGAAGGTGCAATTTTCCCTCAGCCAGAGAGATAGGTAGAGGAGTGGTTGTTGGCAAAATGGCAGGGGACAATATAGGGACATATGTCTGATGTGTTCCTGTTGGTTGAGTGGAGACAATGGTTATCTGCAATGAGCTTGTAATTGGACCTGTTAAGGAGCCAATCAATGGGTCTTTTCTGGAAGGTTTTAATTTTTTCTGGGGACACATGTGGGCAGTGGATTTTTAGAGCCTTCGCCTGCTTTAAGTGGTTGGGCATTCAGCAGCAGGCCAGGGTTGACAGCCATCCTATAAAGACAAAATACTGTGGATGCTGGAAATCTGAAATAAAAACAGAAAAAAAAGCTGAAGAATATCAGCACGCCATGGCAGCATTTCTGGAGGGTAAAATAGAGTTAATATTTCAAGTCTGATGTGACTCTTTTTTAAAACTGAAAGGGACTGTAAGTGAGACCATAGATATAGATGCAGAAGTAGGCCTTTCAGCCCATCAAATCTGCTCCACCATTCATTGAGCTCATGTTTGATCTGATAATCCTTAACTCTTGTTTTTTTGTCTTTTCCCCATAAGCTCTCAGTGAATAATAATCTATTTCAGCTTTGAATATACTCAATGACCCAGTCTCCACAGCCCTCTTCAGTAAAGAATTTCACAGATTCAATATACTCTGAGAGAAGAAATCCCTCCTCATCTAAATGATTTCTATGCTGCTGACAGAAGGGGAGAAAGAGTGGATGGAAGGGATGGTAAGAGTGCTCAGAATAAAAGACAATGGGAATGCTAAGGCTGACATGGAGAAACGGTGATGTAAAATAGCTGTGAAAAGGAGAAATTGGCTCCACTCTGCTGAGTGCAAAATCACAAGACTCAAAGAAGACACGGCTGGGGATAGATGTTGTAATCAAATTAGAGGACAGCTGTCATGCTTTGAAGATGCTGAACTCAATGTTGAGTTTTCAAGTCTATAAAGTAGACAAAAGATGGGGAATTATAGACTGGTTAGCTTAACCTCTGTAGTGGGGAAGATGCTTGAGTCCAATATCAAGGAAGAAATAGCAAGGCATCTTGATAGAAATTGTCCCGTTGGGCAGACGCAGCATGGGTTCATGAAGGGCAGGTCATGCTTGACAAATCTTTTGGAATTCTATGAAGACATTACGAGCGAGGTGGACAATGGGGACCCAGTGGATGTGGTGTACCTAGATTTTCAAAAGGCCTTCGACAAGGTGCCGCACAAGAGGCTACTGCATAAGATAAGGATGCATGGCATTAAGGGTAAAGTATTAGCATGGATAGAGGATTGGTTGACTAACAGGAGGCAAAGAGTGGGGATAAATGAGTGCTATTCTAGCTGGCAGTCAGTGACTAGTGGTGTGCCTCAGGGATCGGTGTTGGGACCGCAATTATTTACAATTTATATAGATGATTTGGAGTTGGGGACCACATGTAGGGTGTCAAAGTATGCAGATGACACTAAGATGAGTGGCAGAGCAAAGTGTGCAGATGACTGTGAAACTTTGCAGAGGAACATAGATACATTGAGTGAGTGGGCAAAGGTCTGGCAGATGGAATACAATGTAAATAAATGTGAAGTCATACATTTTGGTAGGAGTAATAGTAAAAAGGATTATTACTTGAATGGTAAAAAGTTGCAGCATGCTGCTATGCAGAGGGACCTGGGTGTCCTTGTGCATGAATCACAGGAGGTAGGTCTGCAGGTACAACAAGTAATTAGGAAGGCAAATGGAATTTTGTCCTTCATTGCTAAAGGGATTGAAATAAAAAGCAGAGAGGTTATGTTGCAGCTGTACAAGGTGCTGGTGAGGCCACACCTGGAGTACTGTGTGCAGTTTTGGTCTCCTTACTTGAGAAAGGATGTACTGGCACTGGAGGGGGTGCAAAGGAGGTTCACTAGGTTGATTCCGGAGTTGAGGGGGTTGGCTTATGAGGAGAGACTGAGTAGATTGGGATTATATTCATTGGAATTCAGAAGATTGAGGGGGGATCTTATAGAAACATATAAAATTATGAAGGGAATAGATAAGATAGAAGTAGAGAGAATGTTTCCACTGGCAGGTGAAGCTAGGACAAGAGGGCATAGCCTCAAGATTAGAGGGAGCAGATTTAGGACTGAACTGAGAAGGAATTTCTTCACCCAGAGGGTTGTTAATCTATGGAATTCCTTGCCCAGTGAAGTAGTTGACGCTACTTCAGTAAACGTTTTTTAAAAAAAGGTAGATTTTTTTTGAACAATAAAGGAATTAAGGGATACGGTGAGAACGTGGGTAAGTGGATCTGAGTCCACGAAAAGATCAGCCATGATCTTATTGAATGGCGGAGCAGGCTCGAAGGGCCAGACGACCTACTCCTGCTCCTAGTTCTTATGTTCTTATGTTCTTATAAATGTCCAATGTGGAAAATGAGGTTTTGTTCCTTGAGCTTGCATTGACCTTGGTTGGATCATTGCAGCAAGCCCAGAACAGAAATGTTAGCATATGAACAAGATGGCTTATTGAAATGGCAAGGAGCATGGAAGATCAGGGTCATTTTTACGGGCAAAGTGGAGGATTCTGCAAAGATTCCATCCAGTCTGCGTTTGGCTCTTGAGGAAGAAAGGAAAAATTGAAGTGGCATATAAATAAAGAGAGTTGGGATATTAACAAAGTTGTCATTTAAGGCTTAAAATTACAGAACTTTCTTCTTGACATTGACACTGAATTTTCTCATTCTCTTTGTGTTTTCCCATTTTCCTGTTGTGGCTCATGCTGCACTGGGGTTAGGGGTGGGGGGAATATTTAACTCAAAGTGTGGACCCAGTTCTAAAATCCTGATGAGTACAATGGCTATACCACAGAAATAGCTTTTTTTAGGAAATTCCTTTTCCAATTGTTCATGAACAGGATTCTACATGTTACAGAAATCTCAAAGAAATGGAAGTCAAAATTTTGCATTACATGAAACCTGTGATATTTTGTTAAATCAAACAGCCATAATGATGTAATTCACTGTTCTACAAAATGGTATAATTGCAATCTGATGTCTAGGTTCCAGTTCCTGCAATGATAGCTGATGATTGCAAGTTAATACAATTCCAGTTAAAAACTGCGTACAGATTGTCCAATTTTGGCTATTGCAAATTAACTCAGAATGCCTTTCTTTTTAATGAAATGAATTTCAGAGATTTTGTCTTGATGATTCAGATGGAATTATTTAAACAAGTTCAAGATAAGTCTTAATCCTCTATATTTAGCTTCTGCATGCATTGCACTATAACTGCTTACACTGCATTAAAATCAGTTAAGATTAGATATCTTGAAAATCAAAACTGAGTTTAGATTTAAGCTGCTTAATTTTGCTAAAATCTTCACAAGTATTTACTGTTCCAAATTTCAATTTTCTATTGTATATTTATACATGCACGTTGCAGGCATTTGTGTGCCATGGTATTTTACACTATTTGCATAAAATACATGCACACACATGATTGCCTTAGTACCTAAATAGTTTGCAATTTAGTGTTTATGTACTGGCATACTACAAAATATGCATTAAAATGTATACACATGTTTCTCATTCCCCAAAATGAGTTTACAATCACTGAAAGAAGAAGTAATAAATAGCCGATTGTACCTCTCTGAAGAAGCATGAAATATTTTTCTCTACTGAAGATGTTATTTGAATGCAGGTGCTGTTATAAAGTGCTTCCTCTGGGACATATCACTGGAGGAATTTAGCTAGCCCACTCTTTTATACTTCTGAATGGTTGGTTATGTAATAGCATATTTGCAGCTTGGGAGGAAATTTGATGCACAGTGGCAATCAAGGATTTATGCATACTCATAAATGTTTGAGTTATATGTGCAAAAGTCTTAAAAGAAACAAAAATACCAAAGAAACACTGAACAGCAGTATGGAGCAGCTGCTTTTCTTGACTAGTACGACTAGCCATGCAACAATGACACTGATAACATAAAACATGCATTGCCAATCTCAATAAGGCATACTTGCATTATCAAATTTAATAACATGTATCAGTAATGAATAGCATGTTTCACTCCTTTCAGTTTTCTTAAGTTGTGTATTCAATGAAATTGACATTGTATTTATTCCATTGTATTTATATAGGAACTCTTTGTGAATTTTGATCCAGCTGTGTTTGAAGTTCTTACAGAAGCAAAGTACTTGTACAAGATGGGACTTGATGTTCCTCAAGCAGCTTTCAATCTCTGTTTAAAAGAGACCAAAATTAAGCATCATTATTTAAGGTCAGTACTCCTTTTACTTTCAAAGCCAACGCTTCAAAAAGCAAAAGGCAGAAAACTAACTGGTTTGAGCTACACTTCATGATCAAGTTTAATTGCTATATTTTAGGAGATATCTGGATGAATGCTTTGATAACAAACACCAAAGTTCAACTGCAGGTCCTGGTCATCGGGAAGTTAGAAAGAACAATCCACCTGTAGATTTCCATTCCGTACAATTGTTGTGCTTTGTTTGGAATTTGTTCTTTAAATGTAGTTTATGGGTAACCAGTTAATCTTTTTGTTTATCTGCAGCCTTCAGGAGCTTTTAAGTAGCTACCAAAATGTGGTGAACACCATCCCATCTAATATGCAACCAATGATGAAGCCTTTTATTGGCCAAGTGGATGAAGCTCTCATTCCTGGACTGACTATGTTGTCTTGGACCTCTCTAAACATTGAAAGATGTATGAATCCATATTGTTAGCCAGGTTACAAAAGAAATTGAATTAATATTACATTCTATTTCTAGTCTCTGTTTTTGTTCCTCTTCTTTCCACAGCATTCAATGTTACGAACAATTTGTCGCCTTGAATGACACAAATGACTGTTTTATTTCAGACATTAAGATGTAGAAAAAAAATTTAAGAATCATGAGTGGAGTTTTTCAGCAGCATTTCAGATCCTATTTTATGGTTGGTTGGATGCATCCAGCTGCTATGAACTCTAAATTTGGCATCCAAGCCATCTTATCCACTTCCTGCTGGAAACCACTCTTTGGTTTTCTGAGCAGACTTTTGTGCCTCCATTACTCACTTCGACAGATTTTAAGCGAGGCTTTTAATTGGCAAACAGTCTTTGGGCAAATAATGAGCCTTCAGAATCTTGAAATGATATCCAATTTTCAGACAAAATATACTGAAAGTGGGAAAAACCATATGTCATTAGTAAATTCAACAGTTCAAACATGTAGTTTAAGGTATGATGATGTTTATTAAATTTTTGTTCAATTTTCTTTCCACTTTAGTCATGGAAAGCGTGAATAGCTCGCTGGCTGAGCTGAAATACATGGCGAAGCAGGTCTCTGACACCTTGGAGTGTAGGATTGAGAGAGTTCTACATGAAATGACTTTTACTGCCTTGGTGGACCTCCCTGAAGATAACCTTGTGGAAGCACACGCTTTTCTAGAGATGACTGAGAATATTGTTGCCTCTGCTGGACAAGCTTTATCTATGTACGTTTTCTTCAGATAATATTGAGCAAAACTCTGGGAGGCATGTATGTATGAATTCTGACAAGGGATGAAATTGGATCTCTAGGTGATTAAATTGACTCCGACTCTGCCCCACCCCCCTCTTTTTACATTTCTATAGGCAAATGTTAAGTAGGCTAAGAAGAGACTCAAGAGATAACACAGTGTGGAGCTGGAGGAACACAGCAGGCCAGGCAACATCAGAGGAGCAAGAAAGCTGACGTTTTGGGTCAGGACCCTTCTTCAGAAAAAGCTTGTTTTGAAATAAAGCACATTTTTGTCCATTTTTATCCCCCTTTTTAGAGGTTTTGTCTCCAGTTGGATTTCAGCTCCATTGAGAATTGTTATCCCTCACTAACTTGTTTAAATTGCCATTTTTATAACAGCTTAGGCAATAATATCAGTAAGTTGCTTTATAATGTGGTCTGGGGCATTGCTGAGTTAAATCCTCACCAATGTTCATGAGCTTTCCAACTGGCTTAGAAATCTAGATCACAAACTGTGATCAGTTTACCTTTCATTGTTCCAAAGCTGCTGAGATCAGTTGTACCATTCCTACTGTCATTTGGCTAACCCAGGACAGACAGGAAATTGAATTCTAAAACTTCTAGCTTCTAAAACATAAGTTTCTGTTAAACAATGCCTTTCACAAGTGAATAGCTAGGGCAGGAGGATCAATTACTTTTATTCACTAAACTATAAGTAAAAATAACTGTTGTTTATCAACTATAGACAATATTTTTTAAAAAAAGCCCTTTTAGCATTTGGTGTAACATTTTCTATGGTTTAGGAAATGTACATTTCTTGTTCGCATTAAAACACATACTGACTCTTTGTATGCAGACAGAGTCAACAGCTGGAGCATTGTATGTACCAGTTAATGGATGGATTGACACAAAAACTTAAGCCAGACGAATTCGCCAATCTTCAGGTAATTCTTGTTTACTGATTCGAACACTGCTGCTATGTATTTTTCAGCTACAGGGTGACCTTATAGAGGTTTATAAAATCGTTAAGGGCATGGATAGGGTGAATAGCCAAGGTCTATTTCCTAAGGTGGAGAAGCCCAAAGCTAGAGGGTATAGGCCTAAGGTGAGAGGGGAAAGATTTAAAAGGGACCTGAAGGTAACTTTTTCACCCAGAGGGTGGTGCGTGTATGGAATGAGCTTCCAGTGGAAGTGGTGGAGGTGGGTACGATTACACCATTTAAAAGGCATCTGGATGGATATATGAATAGGAAGGGTTTAGAGGATATGGACCAAATGCTGGCAAATGGGACTGGGTCAGATTGGGAAGTCTGGTTGGTGCAGACAAATTGGACCAAAGGGTCTGTTTCGGGCTGTATAACTCTATGATTCTATGAACATGGGTTTATAAAGGCTGGGGCGAGGGTGAAGGGGGATGTTGGGGGCATTTTTAAAGAAATGGCTACAGAGATAGTGATTAGATACTGACAGTAATCTTCCAAGAATCCTTAGATTCTGGAAAAGTCTAGAGGACTAGAAAATTACCAATGTGCATCGTTATTCAAAAGCGAGGGAAACAAACAAAGGTAAGTATAGACCAATTAGCTTAAAATCTGTCATTGGGCAGATGTTACAGCCTATTATAAAGGATGTAATAAGAGAGCATTTAGAAAGACATAATCTAATCAAGCAGAGTAAAAGTGGCTTCATGAAGGAGAAATCACAACTGGCAAATTTAATACAGTTGTTTAAGGAGGTAACAAATAGGATAGATAAAGCAAAGCAAGTGGTTGTAATATGTTTGGATTTGCAAAAAGCATTCAATTAGGTACTGCACAGTAGGCTGCTTGATTAGAACCCGTGGTGTTGGATGTGGTACATTAGCACATGGATAGAGGATTGGCTAACAAGTAGGAGATAGAGAGTTGGGATAAAGGTTGCGAAAAATTGACTTGTTTTCCTTTCCATGACAGAGAAGCAGATTTTTCCATAAATTAGTTCTGACAGATTTTAGTCAACCTGGTGAGAATTTTAGCTTCAACAATTTCTGCAGTGAATCATCAAAAAAAGTTGCTTTCTGTGTCATCATTAACCTGCTATTGTGATCACCTTTGAACGTTGAATTTATTACACTTTTGATATGGAATTGAAAGCAGACTTTTTTGTTCGATTGTGGTGAATGAATGTTTGGAAAAAATGTAAAGAACAGTCTGGTGTGAGGGATTGAGCAAATGAAGGACGGCAGTGTGAGGGTGAGTTGGGTAGGTGACCTGACTTTGGATGGGGTTTTGTTCTGTTCACACCATAGCAGACACATCCCCCCTATCGGGTGGGCCATTGGGAGGACGATGCAATGTGTACATGCAAAGCAAAAGATCAAAAATGGAGGTCACAACCGTCCTGACAACAAATAACCTGGGATGTGTGACAACTGCCTCAAATATGGGACAGTAAAATCCACGTCAGATTAGTTACCATATTTCAGATTCTCCATTCTACTTACGAATTGGTTTGTGTACAGGATACCTATGCATGTTTACATCCTGATGCAAAACAAAAAACTCGTTGTCAAGAATGCCTGCCGTGCAGCTACTATAACCTGATGGGACATATTTGCCAAAAGAACACTGATGCTTTGGTGAAATGTAAGTGTTTGTAAATTCAGTGTGAACTATACATTTTTAAAATTTTCATATTGTAAAGCTCATTTTTATTTGACTTATCTCCATACTTTGCATAACCAGCTGTAGAACTGATTCTGCATTTCAGTCACTGTGTTGGTAAGATTGCTACACTTCAGGCAAACTATGTGATCTTTCGCATATACCTAGGCCTAAATTTTTGTTTGTGGAACTGAACAAACCATTGGGGGAATGGTGATTCAGGAAGTCACGCTTGCTGGCAGCGTGGCCCAGAGAGTGATCTTCAAGGTGGTGACTGTAACTAAGTGGTCACCTTTGGGAGATTCTCCATGGCCAACATTAACTGAATGGGTGGACCTTCAGATGTCCAATGTAGTAAAATCACTGAGTCAGTTCTCCTGAGAGCAAGTGTGAGTTTGGTATTTGCTTTTCATTTGACTTTGGGTCCCAAAGCCTATGGTAAGGTTCAACCCAAGTAATTAACTTAATAGACTCGTCTCTATGCACACTACTTACAGGAGGCACACCAATTGAGGCACATGACATTCATTGCAAACTAACTTTAGGATTATTGGAAAATTTATGAAGGTGCAAATAAGTTGGACAGATTCTTGTTGTGCTGTCAGGGGTCTTGTTGGCCGACTAGACAGCTGGCAAGATACCCATGTTCCTTCTTTTTGATCACCCTGGAGACCATGGAGAGTAGAAGAAGGCCATTCAGCCCATCGAGTCTGCTCTACCATTTAATGAGATCATGGCTGATCTGATCACACCCATCACACTTTCCTGCCTTTTCCCTATAACCCTTGATTTTGTTATTGATCAAAAATCCACTTACCTCAAAACCTTGAATATACTTAATGACCCAGCCTCAACAGCCTCTGCTTTAAAGAATTCCACAGATTCACAACCCTCTGAGAGAAGAAATTCCTCTTCATCTCAGCTGTAAATGTGCAACCTCTTTTCCTAGTCGCTCCCAGGAGGGGTGACAATCTTTCTGTATCCACTCTGCCAAGTCCCCCAAGAATCTTGTGTTTCAATAAGGTTGCCTTTCATTCTTTTAAACATTAATGAGTACAGGCCTAACCTCCTCAACCTCACCTCTTAAGACACTTCCTCCGTACCCAGGATCAACCTAGTGAACTTTCTCAGGACTGTCTCCAACATCTTTCCTTAGATAAGGACCCAAAACTTGTCACCGTATGCTAGTCTAACTGATGCCTTCTACATGCCTTTATACTCTATTCCCTTTGAAATAAAGATCAACGTTCCATTTGCCTTCCTTATTACTTGTTGAACTTAGAATCTGGCTTTCTGTGATTCCTGGATGAAGACTAAGTGTTGTTTGGGTGGGATGGTCTCTTGGGGTAGAAGTCACAGAGAGAGCAGGTAGGTATGTCAGGAGCAAGGGCAAATTTTAGCTTTTAGCAGCCACCCCTCGCTGAGGTCTTGTCCCTAAATTGTGCAAAGATTAGTGCAGATTGACAAACCACGGCCACCCCGTCACATTAACACTCTGCCTGCAGGGGTTAACCATTGAATCAGTTGACTGTTTTCCTGATGGAAGTGAAATAATTGCAGCTCAGGCAGGAATAGAGACATAAATGGTCATTAATTAACCAGTTAAAAGCTTAAATTGGCATCATCACTGTTTTAAATGTGTAATCCCTAATTTTTAAACAGTGACCTCTATGTAAAAAAGTGTTCAGCAAAACAATACATAGAAAGAGATGCTTTGAGTGTTGGAGACTGCCATTAGCAGACCTTCACCTGAAGACTTTCCCTTACTTCCATTCTAGAACTGAATAAGAAGAAACTAGGTACAAATCAACAAAGTTATTCTAAGCTAAGCTAAGCTAAGCCAAAGTTATACTAAGCTAAGAAATTCTTTCAGAGATAGTAAGAACTGCAGATGCTGGAGTCAGAGATAACACAGTGTGGAGCTGGAGGAACACAGCAGGCCAAGCAGCATCAGAGGAGCAGGAAAGTTGACGTTTCGGGTCCAGACCC